AAGGTCCCCCCCCCCCCCCCCAAGTTCTGGTATGTTTTCTAAGGCTCAGTGCAGGGCAACAGGTCGAGGCCAGGTCTACCAATACAGTGGACTGGGGCAGGTAGATCTATTCTCTGGAGGCCTGGTCTACCAATATAGTGGAAAGGGGAGGGTAGACCTGTTCTCTGTCTCCCTGTAGAGCACAACATTTTCTGTAATGAAATTTGACTTGATTCTGTTTTCTCTTATAATGTTTAAATTATTCTTAAAATATAGTTTAAATGTAGTTTTAAAAAATTCATTCTGAGATTTTTACAAGGTTATGGAAATAATCTAAAAAACTAACTTATCTGATAGTCAAATGTAAACTTGCTCACAACTTTAATGCTACTAGCTTTTTTCCGCTCATGAGGTAGAATTTTTGCTCCACCTCACTGTGGAGCTTAGAGGGAACATTGCCTCATGTTATAACTTTTTTCTACTTTGGCTGCCTGTCTGATCTCCTTTTGCAGCTCAAAAACAAAACCAGTAGTAATTGGTAGAGAAGCAAGTTCTCCTTTATGACGTTAAGTTCTAAGTTTACTGTTGCCTGGGTGGGGGGAGGTGTGAGATTTTACCTGGTCTCTGCTCTACCTGGTCTCCTTACTTCCCTGGTCTCTGCTCTAGGGTTGCCAGGTCTGGTTTGGAAAATACCTGGAGACTTTGGGGGTGGATCCAGGAGAGGGCGGGGTTTGGGGAGGGGAGGGGCCTCAGCATGGTGCAATGCCGTAAGAGTCCCCCCTTCTAAGCAGCCATTTTCTCCAGGGCAGCTGATCTCTGTCAATTGGAGATGAGCTGTAAAAGTGGGAGATCCCCAGGCCCCACCTGGAGACTGGCAACCCTACTCTGCTCTCATACTCAATTCACACAGCTGCCAAATCCACCTCACTACTTACTGTTTTGCAGATGCTTTGCGGATAGAGGTCCCTTCTGCTTCCAGATGTCTCTCCTTACTCATTGCTGTCCACAGATAAAAATCCAAGCATGAAGGATCCTTCTTTATGAATTCTGTAGAGTGTGTGAGATTTATTGTCTCTTCATAAAGAACAGTCTGGGGGGGGGGGGAGAAGGAAGGTAGCCCATTCTTAATCACACTAGCCAGTGGCAGAAACCTCAAAGAAAGAGGATAGAACTATCAGCAGCTATACTTTTTTTTAAAAAAAAAAAAATTAAACCATAAATTTTATTGAGAGCTTTATACATACAGAAGAATAAATCCAACAGGGAAGTCCAAGAAAAAAACAAAACAAAACAAGGGTATTGCGAGAAAACTACACTTCTCTAACCGTACAAGACACCAATTTTTAGTTATATAACAACAATTTGTATTTAGCATTACTGACATTTTCCCAGTCAAATTTGTCTATATTAATCTTGTCCAACAAGGGATACCAAGCATGAAGTGGGCTCATCAATTCACATTCTGTTTGGATTTCTGAATGGAACGTATTAAAATTCTCCAACAGGAATAAGTCCCAAACCTTATGAAGCCAGTGCTGAATACTTGGAGGACTCGGGTCTTTCCAGTGCTTGGCGATCACTATCTTTGCTGCCATGAGTAGAGTACCCACCAATTTTCTACTAGCAAATGAGAACCCATCTGCAGGCCATAAATTCAATAAAATTAAGGCCGGATCCCAAGGAACCTCATAACCAGTTAAATCTTTAACCTTTCTAATGACAAGTATTGAGAAATTTTGGGTATCAGCAGCTATACATGACGGCAAGCGGGAACTGCCACGCTCAAAGGCAGTATACCACTAAACAAGATGAATAAAATCAATTTTTTAAAATGTCAATATTACTTAAATCAGACTTGCTTACTGTTTATATTCTGTTAGCAGTTTCACTTTTGAAAATGATTTACTTTAAAATGAAATATAAATTTCACGCTACACTGATCCTTTTTGGATTGATTTCATGATCATACATACAGGGAAGTACCCTTCCATAGGAGCTTACTCCATCCTAACAGAAGCTTCTTCCAATACAAGTGACTCTTGTATTGGAGGAAAGCCTCCAGCTTTGCTTAGGGCAATGGTAGGTTACAGATCACTAACATAAAGCTTGCTTGTCTATGCAACGGGAGAAAACTGACTCCTGAGGTCCAGCATCAAAAATCTCTCCTTATATATAATTGAGTAAGAACATTCTATATTGAACATTCTAAATTTGGCCCCTTTAGTGTATGGACGCTTGAACTGTCAGTCAGAAGACACTGGCTGGGTTGACTGGCTGCTTTGTGCAGTCCCGCCCAGCGTTTCAAGGTCTTTTGCATATGGAAGCTGATTGGACTTCACTGCATTCCACACCTCAAACTCACCCCCCTCCCCGCAAGGCAGTTGGAATGTCAGTTGCATATGGAACCTTCAAGGTCTTTTGCATATGGAAGCTGATTGGACTTCACTGCATTCCACACCTCAAACTCACCCCCCTCCCCGCAAGGCAGTTGGAATGTCAGTTGCATATGGAACCTTCAAGGTCTTTTGCATATGGAAGCTGATTGGACTTCACTGCATTCCACACCTCAAACTCACCCCCCTCCCCGCAAGGCAGTTGGAATGTCAGTTGCATATGGAACCTTCAAGGTCTTTTGCATATGGAAGCTGATTGGACTTCACTGCATTCCACACCTCAAACTCACCCCCCTCCCCGCAAGGCAGTTGGAATGTCAGTTGCATATGGAACCTTCAAGGTCTTTTGCATATGGAAGCTGATTGGACTTCACTGCATTCCACACCTCAAACTCACCCCCCTCCCCGCAAGGCAGTTGGAATGTCAGTTGCATATGGAACCTTCAAGGTCTTTTGCATATGGAAGCTGATTGGACTTCACTGCATTCCACACCTCAAACTCACCCCCCTCCCCGCAAGGCAGTTGGAATGTCAGTTGCATATGGAACCTTCAAGGTCTTTTGCATATGGAAGCTGAGGAGCCGCGGTCGCCCGGGCCGAGATTGGGGGGGCAAGGCGGGCGACAGAAGGCCGATGCCTCCGTCGCCCGGCCCTCTACAGAATCCACCCCCCAAACCTCCAGGTATTTCCCTCCTTAGAGCTGGCAACCCTACATTCCCCTCAGTGCCTGTTGGTAGGCAACTAAGCTTGGTCCAGTCACCTACTTTGCCCTTTGGGAGAAAACATATTGGGGCCAATCCTGATAGGGTTGCCAACTCCCAATGGGAAATTCCTGGAGACTTGAGAGATGGAGCCTGAAGAGGGTGAGGTTTGAGGAGGGGTGGGACCTCAGACAGGTACAATGCCATAGACTCCACGCTCCAAACCACTCAGTCCCTCATGGGGAAACATTGTTGCCAATCTCCAGGTGAGGGCTGGAGACCACTCAAAATTACAATTGCTCTGCAGAAGGGAGGGCGGAAGTCAGCTGAAGTCAAAGGGGCAGATAATGGTAGGTTGATGGTTAGCTGGGAAGGAGATGGGGTTGCCAACTCCAGGCTGGCAAATTCCTGGGGATTTGAGGGGTGGAGCCTGGAGAGGGTGGGGTTTGCGGAGGGGTGGGACCTCAGACAGGTAGAATGCCATAGACTCCACCCTCCAAACCAGCCATTTCGTCCTGGGTAACAATTGTTGCCAATCTCCAGGTGAGGGCTACAGATCACTCAAAATTACAACTGCTCTTCAGAGAGCAGAGATCAGTTCCTCTGGTGAACACAGTGGACTCTGTCATTATACCCTGCTGAGGTCACCACAGCAAAATGACACTGTTTGCCCAAAGCCAGAGCACTCCCCCAGAGCCTCTTTCTAGATCTCGTTGTATTTATTTCCACAACGGGCTTTACTGCTAGTATACCATAAATCATGTATAGCATTTATTACTTCAGCACAATTTTTGACTGTGTTAATCAAACAGCATAGACATTTACTGGCCAAAACAATGTTTCTGTATGAGATGGAATACCATCCTTGGATGAGCAAATTCCAGTTGTGTTGCTAGATTTATAAAAATATTACCATCAAAGTGCTTCAGGAATAATGTCATATTCTGTCTACGAAGTGGTTTTGAAGGGGTGGGTGGGAAACTGTTACAGATTCTTGACCCTTCATACTGTTTTAAGCATATCAGTGTTTTAAGCATATCAGGTGGATAGGGAAGCAAAAATAGTCTGGCGGGGGACTTTGGGGTGCATTCCTGGAGGGGGCAGGGCATCTCCAACACAATGACATAATGTTGGGGATGTCCCGCTCCAAGCCCCGCCCCAAGAACAATCGCTGGTGGCCACTCCTCTCCCTAACCTCCCCCAGGGGAAGGGGGGGCTGCTGGCTGTGTGCCTAAACTCTGGGTGGTCCCCGCCAGCTGGAAGCACTTAAAGGGACCCTTTAAGCGCTTCCAGCTGGTGGGGCCCTGTGCACCCACAGCTGCCCCTCTCCCTCCCCTCTGCAAAATTTAAAGGGTTCTCCAGCTGCCAGCTACCCCCCATCCCCTGCCAGTGGCCAAGGGGAACCTGACAATCCTACTACAATGTCTATGGCCCACTAATCAGAATTATTACTTCAAATGAAGATTCCTCTAATTAAACCCTGATCAGATATCAAAACCTCAGTTTGGGGGCAGGAGTTTTAGGGACAAAATGGGCTCTATGAAAACTAATGCTAGAATAAAAAACTTGTTCATCATTAAAATGCTGCAGGTCTCCTTTTATTTTTATTTTATTATTTTATTTATTTTTGCTGTAGCAGACTAACATAACTACTTCTCTAGAATAATTACCAATTTTGAGATCTCCAACCCCTCCAGGTAGGGCTTGGAGATCTCCCAGAATGACACCTTATCCCCAGAAAATGGAGATCTATTCCCCTGCAGAAAATGGCTGCTTTCTATGGTATTATACCACACTGAGGCTCCTCCCACTACCATCTCCAGGCTCCACCCCCAAATATGCACAGATTTCCCCAGCCCGGTACTGCAACCCAGTATAACCAGGGGTCGTTTCCTGCAGGAGCACACAGGAGCGGAACTCCGGCAGTAAAGGGCCCAGGGGGTGGGCACATGCAACAAGCCCCACCCCCTGCTCCCAGCAGCCCTCAGTCAGAGCAAGAAGCAGCCAGGTAAGTTGTAGAGCTCCCCCCCCGCCCCCCACCCCAAAAAAGTCCAGTGGCACCTTTAGGACCAAGCTTTATTCAGGTACAAGCTCTCCCTCCTCTGCGAGGACAGATCTGCATGTTCTCCTCCCCCCAATAGCTAGCAATCCAAAATAGTCCAGTGGAGCCTGAGTGGTGGGTGTTGCCTTCTGACACACTTCCAGTGATGTCAGGGGGTGCAGCATATGCAAATAAGATGCTAATGAGTTATGCTAATGAGCTTCTGCACCTCTTTTTCTACGAAATGACCCCTGAGTATAACAAAGAAGTCAACATAGACTGAGGACAAACCATTTGGGAAACGTATAATTTTGAGTCTTTTTTACACAGTTTTGCTGTAAGACATTACGACCTCCAAAGCTAAATCTGTATATGGCTGAGGACATGCCCTTCTGCCTCTCAAGCACTGTCTACTTACTTTCAGCAGACTCAATCAATTCATCCAACAAAAGGAACATGGGTCATTTCTGCAGAGGTTATCTGCTCCAGATTCAATGCTTTGGGGAAGTGAGATCCTGCTTCCCCATAACATCATGGTGCATTTGTGCACCTCCTGGGGTTTCTCCATCTTTTCTTCAATCTTTCTCAATTCCACTCTGCCTAAATGGCTGCCATATGAGTGGAAAATTTCGGATTTTCTCAGCCACATGATAGCTGTTTTCCCTGACCCTTTAGCTGCCATTTCCTCCCTAAGGATGAAAGTACCCTTATATCAATATGCCATTGTAATAACAGGTGCAACAGGGTCTTTGTATTCTCAGCATTCATTTACAAAAGGTAAGTTTCTAGCCCTTTTCCTTGCAGAGATATAAGGAAAAAGGCATATCTCCACGAA